AAATTCTTCTTTCTTCTTTTGGGTGGCGGGCGCCTGTAGTCCCAGCCCCGGAGGCTGTAGCCGGAGAATGGCGTGAACCCAGGAGGCGGAGCTTGCAGTGAGCTGAATCGGCCACGGCACTCCAACCTGGGCGGGCAGAGGAGACTCCGCCTCAAAAAAAAAAAAAAAAAAAAAAATTCTCGCTCTGTCGCCCAGGCTGGAGTGCAGTGGCGCAGTCTCTGCTCACTGCAACCTCCGCCACCCCGGTTCACGCCATTCTCCTGCCTCAGCCTCCCCAGTAGCTGGGACTACAGGCGCCCGTCACCACGCCCGGCTAATTTTTTGTATATTTAGTAGAGACCGGGTTTCACTGTGTTAGCCAGGATGGTCTCGATCTCCTGACCTCATGATCCGCCCGCCTCGGCCTCCCAAAGTGCTGGGATTACAGGCGTGAACCACCGCGCCCGGTCTCGCCCGGTTAATTTTTGTATTTTTAGGTTTACAGGCGTGAGCAACCGCACCCGGCCCCAATACTACATTTTCTTGTTTACTGTATAGTCCTTATCTTCTGGCACAAAGCAGGCACTCTCTAAAAACCTGAATGAAAGTATGAAGCAGGCCGGCCGCGGTGGCTCATGCCTGTAATCTCAGCACTTTGGGAGGCCGAGGCGGGCGGATCACGAGGTCATGAGTTCGAGACCAGCCTGGCCAACATAGTGAACCCCTGTCTCCACTTGAAAAAAAAGCCTGTAGTCCCACCTACTCGGGAGGCTGAGGTAGGAGAATCGCTTGAACCCGGGAGGCAGAGATCGTGGTGAGCGGAGATCGCGCCACGGCACTCCAGCCTGGGCAACAGAGCGAGACTCCGTCTCCAAAAGAAAAAAAAAGTATGAAACGATGAGTACAATGCAATGAGTCGCCCGCCGCCTGCCAAACCTACCCCGCAGCTCCAGACTGCCGCCTGCGCCGAGCCTAGGCCACCGAGCCTGACGGAAACTGCCGCTCCTGAACGCGTATCCCAGTCCCGCAGCTGACCAATCGGAGCCCGCCCTTTCGGGGCCCGCCCCCTTCCGGGAATCGACCTCCGGACCGGCCTCGAAAATTGACCAACCGGTTGTGTAGTTCCGCTCTTGGTCCCGCCCCCATGTTGAAACTGCCGCTTCGGATCGCGGAGTAACGCTGGCCAGGCGTCCCGGCCTGCCCCTCACCTGACCAATCAGGACGGCCGGCGGAGGCCCAGCCCCCAGCCGGCGACCCGGAGCGGTTCAGGCGGCGGCGGCGGCGGCGGCGGAGGCGGCTGCTGCGGCGCGGATCGGAGGATTCTGCCGGGTGAGTGAGGGGAGGCGGCACTGAGGTGGAGCGGAAGGGCTCTGCAGCAGACCCCACGTGCATTCCCGCGAGGGGCTCGGGGGCTGCAGTGGAAAAGAAGGGGAGGCTGCGTCTGCCTCTGCCGGGGTCCCGCCTCGGCGTCCGCCCGCTGGGTCTCTGTTACTTCTGCGGCCCTGGTGTTTCTGGAGCGTCGCTTTCCCGGTGCCTCTGCTCAGTGTTTCCTTTCCAAAGCGCGACCGGGGCCAGGGGAAGGCAAGGCCAGCTGTGCCCTTTGACCCCGTGCGAAAGCGGCGACCCTCTGATACAGGGGTGTGGCCCAGAGCTACGTGGTCAGTTAGGGGTGGGGGCCGGGATCTTCGTCCTGCGAATCAAGCAGTTGGCCCCCCTTGACTGCATCTCCGTGCCCCCCAGCCCTGTGGGGTCTTATACGTGTGGGAGGGTCCCTGGGTAGTAGGCTTCTTTCTGCTCCAGACCTTGCACCCGATCCTGAGGATACTTGGAGGTGGGGGGCAAGGGCTG